CGACGCCATCCCTACCGCGCTGCCATGTTGTTACCTAACAATGAGGTCAACATAATGCCCACGGACAATCCAACCGTGGTTGTCGCCAATGTACCTGTTGCTGCTGCCGCGCTGGGCGTGCCCGTGCTGCCTGCCGCCTCGCCCGACGACGGTGAGGTGCCCCACGAGGCCACTGCTGGGAATTCGCCTCTGCACGATCTTGTCGCTCGTGACGCCAGGGAAGGCATGCCTGCTATGCTGGTTGGCTCGTCGGGGCCGCCGTCTGTTGGGCTGGAGAGCCGCGCCGTTCTTGAGCCACCGCGCCGGCCAACCACACTCCGATGTGAAGGGGATGACGACACAAGAAGGACGGCATGATGATCTTCCTGTCACCAGATTGTTCGGCATGTCCATGTCATCGACACGCCGCGTCGTCGACATCATAGTGGATCCGGACGCGCCAGTTGCGAGTCGACCAGTGCACCCCCTCCCGCACCTGCGCCGCGACCGACGTACGCATCGACGCTCAAAAGGCCATTGACAAGGCCCATGAAGGTGTAATGAAAGCTACACTCACGCGACCATCTCGCGCCATGCTGTCCAAATTCATCCAGCTTGCAGGGGACGATTCGATCTCCGGCGACGTCATGCTCGAGGCGATTGAGGAATCCCTTCCGTATCCAAAACGTGTGGGCACCTCGACATTTTGGATCGAAACATGGGAGGCCTTGTTGTCTGAATCGAACAAGATCATCAAGAGTCTGTTCCCGAGGACCAGGAGGCTCCATGAAGCTCCATGCTGAGCTCATTTGTACAAGTCAACAAAGCTAGAGGTGGCGACGTTGTCGTCACAGTCACGGATGACGCATCGCACCTGGGGATGCTGGGACAGTTGGTCCGCATCCTTGGTAACACGTACTCTGCCGCGTTACCGTCCTCGTCGCCATACCGAGGAAGCGGCCAAAGGCAACAGGACGAGCTGCAGGATCTGTACTACATGGACATTGTAGCGACGTGGTTCAATTTTGACTCGCAGGCGTTGCTGAAAGGGCTTCGTCGATTGAAACGCGGCCTGTGTTTGTCTGCTACGAGTTGACATACGCGATGAAACTCCAAACGTCCACGGTCCACCCTAAAATTTGGCGGGTGTACTTCAACAAGCCGACTCCACCGTCGGCACTTCTTGTGAATGGACACGCCGTGGACCAGCTCGTTCTACACGGGACACACTATGGGGTCTTTTTTTGTGAAAGACTTGAGCGATCGACCACCCCGCGCCGCGGGCGAATGTCACCGCACTGCATGGATCTCGACGAAGTGTTGGGAGCTACGACTGAGGAGCTACACGAAGAGGAGGCACCTTCAGTGAATGCCAGGGTAAGTTCACTGCATCTTGCGGATACTTCTCAATGGCAACCGACCCCACCACAACCTCCAGTCGAGGACGTTGGACCACATGAGTTGGCGAGGACTACCGAAAACGAAAGCATGACAGCAACCCTAGCGGAATACGTCGGACCTCACGAGTTGGAGGAGCCCACCGACAATGAGAGCATGACCCAAACATCCGCGGTTGTCTTTCAGTCCATGGTGATTGATATGGAGGTCGACGAGTTCATTCAACCTAAGAAACCCCTCAAACGAACGCGAGGGGAGGCCAAAACAACGACATGGGTCTCAGAAGCCATGTACGAAGCGTTGAGTATGGTCGATGTGACGCCTCACCAAGAGGCCATGCCGACAGATGTCCCGGTGACGTCGTTCTCCATGGACATGCGAATCCCGTCGTCTAACACGTTTCACGGACGCACGAGCATTCGTCGCTTGCGAATTCGAGCCAAGCACATGAGCTGGCACCCCAACAATTTGACGATGAGAGAGATAGTCTTCGAGCTGCAGAAACTCGAGGATGAGTACGACCCCTTCCTCGTTCAGGAGCCCCTAGTCGCTGCAGATTCACAGCCCCAAGAGAACATTGCACCGATCATGGAAGAGGCGCGGGCAGTAGACTTGTGGAAATGGGTCTGCGCTGACCCCACCAAGGCAAACGTCACCCTCTCCAAGGTGTTTCTCCGGGACCCCACGGCTCTGCGCACCGTGGCCCATCTTCATGCATGGCATCGATTGATGGTGGCGACCAAGCTTCCGCAGGTCTCCTCGTTTCAGAGCGGTTTTGAGGAGGTATTTGGCGTGCCTCCCACGGCAGCCTTTCTCGCAACAGCATTTGGGCAACACGCGAACATTCGCGCCACAGGTCCATCCACACTGGACGTGACCATGTTAGATATCGAGCTTGCGCTCGCTGTATTTGAGCTCCTGTTGGCCACGCAAACAGCTCCGTACTTCCACAACGAAGCATGGCCCGTTTGCATGACTCAGCAACCAGTTCTTTGGCTCCCTGTACACAAAACGCGTCCGACGTTGGCCTCGTACACACTGTGGGGTCTCCTGCACCCACCTGTTGGTCACAGCCTTGTTACTGCAATGCGCACTGGCCGTTCTAGTGAGCTGTTGGATGTGCTTGCACTCCTTCAAGCACGCGAGTATCGCTAGGACTGTTCCGGCCTTGACGTTTGGAACCCCTTACCACATGTAAGGGCATCGCGGTTCCTATTGTCGCACTCGTACCACCATACCATCATCCTCCTTAACGTACACACCATCGTCCTCAACACACCCGCGTCGCGTTCACTCGCAACGCTCCTCTTCACGCAAGACGTCCTCGCGTGCACTCTGCATTCGAGGACATCATTTCGACGGAGTTGTCGATGTTGACCGCCAACATCAACGGCTTCAAGGACAACGGTCATCGTCTCATCGCCCAACTCTTGTCGCGACACACGGTGGTCGCACTGCAAGAAACCAAACTCGCAGACAATTTCAATACGACAAAGTTTGTTTTCACCTGGATCACACCCTCGGTGTTGACAAATACTTCCTCGCCACAAATGACCATCGCTGCGACCGAGACTTGCCGTAGTATCGGTGTCATGCTACTCTTCCAAATGGAGATGCCTGGATCTGATCAGCTCAGGCATATGACGCAGTACGACGTACGCGACAGGTACATGGCAGTTCGCACAAAATGGGAGGATCACAACGTGTACTTCCACAACGTGTACAGTGAACCGGGAAAAAACTCGCAAGCGTTGTACTCCCTCTGTTCCAAAATAAGTGCGCGAATCAGAGTTTTGACGTACGGCTCCTCGAATAAAACTATCAAAACTCGATAAACCTATATCAAGCTATTCATATATACAGGTGTAACGATA